GTATTATTTAAATGTTCTTGGTTTGATCCAACACCAAAACATGGTACAAGAGTACATCCACAATATAATCTTGTTGATGTTAACAGAAGAAGAACTTTTAATAAATATGAGCCATTTATTATGGCTGTGCAAGCTTCTCAGGTGTATTTTGAAACCTATCCTTCAGTAAAGAGGACATAGAATGATTGGTTAGCTATTTGTCAAATAATGGCACGTTCAATTGTAGATGTTCCAAACATAGTAGAAAAACCTCATACACTGAATGATCTAGCTTTTCAAGAGGATAATAGTCAAATGCATGAAATTGATATTTGTGAAGATGAAACACCTTATATATTGAATGATCCAGATGGGTTTTTTATTGACATGGAGGAGGAGGAGGAGGGAGAGAGGGAAGAGGAAGAGAGGGAGATGGAAGAAAATGATGAGGATAATGACAATGATGATGAGGAGGAGGATGATGTTGATGATGGGGATGAGGAGGAGGATGATGAGGAGGAGGATGAGACTGAGGATGAGGATGAGGATGATGATGATGATGATGATGAGGATGACAATGAGGAAGGGGAAGATGAATATGAACATCAAAACAAAAAGAGAAGAAAGTGTAGAGATTAATGTCACTTGAAGTTTTTAAATTTATTGTCTCTATTAATCTAAAGTTGAATGTACTATTTTATGCTACAAGTGATCTTCATTTTCTTAGTTTTGTTATTAAATCTTGTGAATTGTATTGGGCATCTTATATTATATATCTACATAATGAACTAATATAATTTGAATGCTAGTTGATTTTTCTATCAAGAACTTTATTGTTGCAATTGTACAAGGTCTATGTAATCAAAATTTAAGAATATGAGTGATATGCCATCATCAAATGCTGGTTCTCCTACTGGTCCTTGTACTCCAACCACTCCTAGTACTCCAGATGTCTCTATTGGGTCTCCTAGTTGCTCATCAACATCTGTTCGATTGGTCATCTCAGTTGTAGCGGAAAAGTAAGAAAGGATATTTTTGTATACTTGATCTAATTTTTTCTAATATAAGTATTATGAAATGTGTTATTTATTTTTAATTTTATTTCAGATTCGTTCCTAATGGTCATTCTATCTCGAAGATCATCACAGAAACGTTCAAGGAAAGACAAGATGCTACTGGCTACTCATGGAAGGATGTCAGTCAATTAACTCGTAAATTTTATTGGCATGAATTTTTGGTAACTATTGCTTTATATTTAAAATTTATAAGTAATTTATTTAATATATGTCTCTATGTGTTTATTTCACTAAGTAATTTTTTTTCAGAAATCATATCAGTGGAATCCTACTGAAAATTCTATAATGGAACGTACATGGAATAAGGTGGCATCCACTTTATACTCCAAGAAAATGTATATTTGGCGAAAAGGTACAGTCAAACCTAATTTTGTTTTGGAGGATATTTGGAGAAGTTGGAAGACGTATTGGGCCTCTGATGAATGGATGGATAAATCTCGTATCGCCACTCGAAATCGATGTAGTGAGACTGGTGGACTAGGCACTGGTCCAAGCAAGCATACCGGTGGTTCTAGATCAACAGTGGAGCATACTATAAAATTGGTACCAAATTTAACACTTTCTATAATATTTTTCTAATCTTATCTCTTATTTTAATA